GGCCCCTTATTCAAGTATATAAGGTCCAGGCCTCATTTAAGGTTAAGTAATCATTTTAATTGGTTAAAAAGTGATGGTGTTAATAATACTTTGATTTGAAATAATAGGAATAAATTTCACAGTGTAATACTGGTAAACATGCATCATTGGTAGTAAAAGCCTCACTTGCATTAGTTCGAAGGGAAAACCTGCATTTACAAAAATTTGAAAATAGTGTAAGCATTCCTATGATCAATCATTGGATAAAAATATGATAAATACCCCACCTTTTTAACCTAATCAAATCATTTTCTAACTTGTAAAGAAGGCATGAACCTTATATAAATAATATCCAGCATTGAGCGGCCAGGTCTACCATAAAATGAGATGAAGTAAAAACTCCGTATCTGGCCAGATATGATATCCATTGCATCCCTAGTTATTTGTTATCAATAAATAATGTTTCTTTGTTTTAAAATGCCAAGTTTACAACTTTACTTAATTACTTGTTAAGGAGAGAGTGTTGGATATATGTCTATGAGATGACTGTATATTCTTGGTATTCAATTAATTTTCTTATTTAATCAAATATATGTGCATATATTTGATTAAATAAGAAAATTGAATACCAAGATTGCACACCATTTGTACCCTTTTATAGCTAACCCTCAGATGTATAATGGATTCCCTTCCACATGCACTGGGAGACAGACAGACCCACCACAACAAGACAGACCCACCACAACAAGACAGGCAAGCTTTTTTTGCGATTCTTCATGTAAGTTTACTAATATTTTTCTTTTTGATGTAGGTTAACTCATTGAGACCCATTGTGCCCTGCTTTATTATTTTACTCTCTCTCTAACGCCATACGATTTACTTGTCAAGGGGAGAGCTCTGCAATCTCGTTCCCCGAGCCTGCGATCCTCGGGAAGGAAACGAAGGCTCTGGGATAATCCGTTGCCGGAAGCCGGAATTCTGGCTAAGATTGAACTACGCATCCATTTCAACGGCCAATCAGATTCCTCCCTGAAACGGATTATCCCAGAGCCTCGCGTTCCTTCCCGAGGATTGCAGGCTCGGGGAACGAGATTGAGAGCTCTGGTGCTTAATGGTTAAGCATTATTTATATATTTTTACTCTGTAATGCTGTCATGCAATGCCATTGTGAACCAATTAAATCATACTGTACCATACTATTAGCATTAATGGTACCAACTTCAACACACAAGTGGCTGTCGAAACATTAAATTATAACTGTTTGAAGCCACCTGTAAATGATTTCTTGAACTATAACATGTTCCTAGTTTGTAGCATTCAGCTTTGTTATCCATACAATTGCCTGTATACAGTAATGCTTTAATGTGCAAAATTGTCCATTTTTGAGTAACTATATGCAGGGGTGTGGCTTAGTTATTAGTTATATATAGTGTATTGTAGTTTGATTAAATTTAATTTACCACGTCTGACCCCAGGCCTAGAGCAAGTGTCATTTGTGTATTCAAGTTTGATTCAACGAAAAAAGAGAATTAATTTTAAACTTCCCTGCCATTGTGGTAAATAATTGTCAGTATTTATTGTTTAAACAAAAGTTGAGTTATAGTGTAATCAACTGTTCTAGTAAGAATGGTGTCAGAATTAATATTTATAATTGTGAATACTTTGCACTAATTAATAAATGCAATATATTTTGTAGGGAACTGGTGATGTGAAGCGACAGTCTCATCTGCAATCCTTTTGTGTGGTATCGGTACCTCTGTGTTTGATACTTCGGTTATATGTATGTTGTTGGGAAAGGAAAAGTGCTGTGTAAGGCTTTACGTGAATTCAAACTTTTAAACTGTCTAAATCTGTTACTTTTCGTCCAATACACGTACAATTTGGATTTATATAAAGTCCAGGAAGTGCAATGATATTTTTAGAGAAAGAGAGAAATCAACCTTTGCAATGAACTCTAATAACTAAATCCCTCTTAGTGTTAGTCAAATTTTTACTCTGTTGGGTCAGTGAAGGATTCAGATTTTAATGCATTCTCTTTACGTTTATGTTTGTATATAATTAGCATTTAGTGACGTATTAAATCCATTTTTTAAAAGGAGAGATAAATTTGTCTGTTTAATTACGTCCCATCTTATTTTCTGCACTGAAGACTATGTTACACGAAACGTGAATGTTAGTGTGAATGTTAGAAATCATTTACATATCATATCGTACCTAAATATAGTGATGATGTGTAACAGATTATGACAAAATTTTTACAGAGAGTTTTGGATAGTTGAAACGACCCTTTTGAATAGCTGAAACGACCCTTTTGAATAGCTGAAACCACCCTTTTGAACAGCTGAAAACACCCTTTTGAATAGCTGAAACGACCCTTTTGAATACTGAAACGACTCTTTTGAATAGCTGAAACGACCCTTTTGAATAGCTGAAACTACCCTTTAGAATAGCCGAAACCACCCTTTTGAATAGCTGAAACGAACCTTTTGAATAGCTGAAACGACCCTTTCGAATAGCTGAAACGACCCTTTCGAATAGCTGACACGACCCTTTCGAAGGGTAACTCTCCTACCCTTTGAGGAGTTAAAACTACCCTCTGAAAAGGGTAGAATCTACCCTTTCGAAGAGTAAGCGCCGAAGGGACTGAAACGACCCTTTTGAAAGGTTGTCCTGGGGTCAAAAAACTGCTCCTTTGAAGGGGTCAAAACTACTCTTTTGAATTTACAGTGTGCCCGTGTTTCTGAATTAACGTTTCTAACATGTAAGGTTGGACAGGATCTTTAGGTTCTCTTGGTCGAGAGAGAATTCGTCGGCAGCCTTCGTAGGTAGATTGAACCAACGGGTGCTCTGTCGGGGAGGGTAAGCCGGCCAAAATATGCCCCCAACGAATGCTATACACAGCAGTATCCACAGGTGAAGTTGTCTTGGCGGAATCCAGGAATTGACGCAGATATAACGCCACGAACATAGGCTGAGCAGGAAGGTACGCAACACCAATCTTAGACTTGGACCAGATCTTCCATCCGTAAGCATAGCGGACTGTCGTATTTCGAGCCTTTGCATTCAACACAACCCGAGGAAGCGAGGAAGCCAACGATACAAGCGAAGGATCCTGTATTTTGGACAAATCCTCCCACACTCCAATTTTAAACTCATCTAAATAGAAATAAGTAAATCATAATAGAATATAAACTTCGAAGACTACATTCGTCACACGACGATATGACAGCACTAAAAGACTGCATTAATTAAATAAAAATGTATTTATTTATTTTTTTTTTTTACGAAAATGTATCTTGCCGTTAAAAGGCAAATGTAAAATTTAATTTTTACATGAACAGGTCGAACGACCGATGAGATGACTTTGTAACCAAAATTTGGTGGCCAAAACCCCTGAAAAAATGCAAACTTGAAGTGTTTGAAAATCAACACATTATTTACATTATCAGCAAATAAACCAAATACTGTAGCAAAGTGCTATTAAACAGAACAATCACACCAGAAATGGAGCGAATCAGTCGAAATGACATGAGGATAAAAAATAAATAAAATGCTTTGAAACGCCACAATTTGTCAAAAAGACACGGTGCTAAAGACCAAGCCTAATCATCATGCTTTAAAACTCTACGCGTAAAGCCAGTAAGTCAAAACATGTAAAAACGGACGTAAAAACGGACGGTTTCTTTTGATAGGCTATCAATTGCCCTTCACCAGGAATGCACATCTGTGCTATTTTTGGTAAAACTAAACTGTCCTTAACAAATGGAGCAAACTTTCCAGGTTTGGTTTTAATGGCTGGCCAAAAAATAGCGGACGGCCAACGAGGAACTATAAGGGTACCTTTGGCCTTACAAACGGACATTTGTCTAATGACGGGGACGATTAAAGCCACTGGCGAACAGACCCAGTTCGTTTCGTTTGACCAATTTTGAGTAAATGCGTCAACAGCCTCTGTTTCAGGACACCAAAATCGTGAATTGAATCTTGGTAATTGTGTATTGTAACTAGCGGCGAACCTATCAATAGTAAAAGGACCCCATGCTCTATGAAGCATAACAAATAATTCTGGGTTTAACTTCCAATCATCTAAATCAATGGTTTTGCTTAACACATCGCCAATCCTGTTTTCTGCTCGAGGAATCCATTGTGTTTCAATCATAATGTCGTTAATGAAACAAATGTTGAAAATGTCTACTGCAATATTTTGGAGTTCTAAAATTCTACTCCCGACTTGAACGATGCGACAGGCGCTCTGGCTATCAGAAAATATTTTCACCTTTTTATGCTGTAAACGTTGCACAGAAGTTTTCAAAACAGGTAGGATAGCCAATAACTCCCGGAACGTGGAACTCTTACCACTTTGCTCAGCGGACCAATGTCCGTGTATATTTACATCCCTCAACGAGGCAAAATAACCACCATAACCAACGCCACTAGCGTCAGTGTGGATTGTTAAAGGTTCTAAAGACACTTTTGGCCGAATGTTATACCCGTTTAGGTAACGTAAATTGTCTAACCAAAATCTCAATTCCTCCATCAAAAAGAGGTGGGACACTATCCAAATGCCCTGCCCATGAATCTCTCTGAGAAATTATGAAAAAGAGTTGCCGCGAAAAAAGCCTCACAGGTGGACCGACAGCTAAATACAATAAATTGGTGAAACCGGCGATTTTTGCCAGTTCTCGATATGAAACGTGATTGGAAGACAAAATGTACTGAATGCATTTCTTAACTTTCTCGATTTTCCGAGGCGGAATTTCGAATTCAAAATTGATGGTGTTAATAATCATACCAAGCCATTCTCCGATTTGCATGGGCTCCCAATGACATTTTTCCTCATTCGTTTTAAGACCGGAACACGATAAATCTTTCTTTTGAATGATACTGGCCGCAGAAGCATCAATACGACATTTATGACCGGAAATACCGTCGTCTAAATAGACAAAAGAGGCGTGGGACATCATATGCCATCGTTTCACTAACGGCCTAAGTAATTTTGTAAAACAATAACAAGCTGAACTTAGACCAAAAGGTAAAACACAGAAAATGAAATATCTCAACTTCCCGTTAAAATTCCACGAAAATTCTAGAAATTTTCTGTGTGCTACATAAATATCAACATGATGATAACCGGATTTAAGATCCCATGTGAAAAACCAAAATTTCTGTTCAAATAATTGAGATAATGATCGAAGATCCTCATATCGAAATGATTGCTTGAGCAAATGCCCGTTAATGTTGCGGAGATCAAGAACTAAACGTAATTTCTTTCCTTTAGCAACAGATAAAGGATTAACGCAATAGGGTGGTTCGGATTGCTCCTCAATGTATTGACCTTTCAGTAATTTAACAATTGCTTCTGAGACAAAGTCAGGATGATCCCTGGCAGATTTATTGTTAGCTAAAAAACAGGTCTCGGGAATGGACCGAAATGGAATCATATGACCGTCCAGCACTACACTTTGCACAAACTGGGAGGCGTTAAGTGTATCACGCCAGTAAGTTGAACACCTGTAAAGCCACCCACGCACACTATCACTACAAAAACTCGCATGCACATCGTCACTATTAGAACTAAAAAGGAATAACCCAACCTGGTCTTCCTCCTCACACTGCAGATCAACTTCTAGTCAACTGCTCGATGCTGGTCTTGGGGGACACATATTGCAATTGCGCTGAAGGTGACCGTACTGTAAACACTGTAAATAATAGAATAACATATATGACCATCAACATTAATATAATAAATAGAAAATAAGTTTGACGGAAGAACGTGTAAGCAGCGAGGAATAATCAAGGCGTGTATACGCCTTTTATACTATGGCATAACAATGTAACATAGTTATGTATTCATATCAGAACATTATTCTGCATATCAAACAATTAGATATAAATTATCTGCTTAACTGCGTAACGCAGATAATTAAAACATCTAATATAATTATATCGAATAAACACACACACACATAACATGTTGCTTGAAGCACTTTGTGTTTATTGCTGCTTAAACGCTCGAGGTAAAAACAAAGCAGTCGTATGACGGCTGTCGACCTGTAGTTTTGTGACTCTAAAGCAAAACACAATGATATATACATGGATGCACCACTTAACTTATAACAAGGCCCAATTGCATTCCCGCTTGGACCATTGTGGTCAGGGAACACTGGTCGACGTGAGGCCATAGAATTACGATATGGAATACGGTTTGGATAGCCCTGAAACGGCCGAGACTTTGATGTTTTGGATGCATTGGCTTTCTTCGCCTTCTTTTCAGCAGTTTTCTCTGCGCGGTCGATCCGTTTCTCGTCATCTGAATTATCGGCTAGCTCGTTAGTCATATATTCAGCTACGGTTTGCCAACCATGGTCGTTCGTATCAGCTAATTTTATAAGCTTCATTCTTGCTTCTATGGCTACTTTACCTTCTTGTAGGAAGCTGATAGCTTTATCGATGTCTTGATGCTCGAGAGCTGTGGTAGCACTTTCCACTGTGTCCAGCACACCAAGCTGGTGATTATATTGCTGCTCATTGCCCTTTGACTTAAATTGAGGTTTCTCTAAGCGAGCCTTCTTGTTCGCGAAGGTTTCTAGCGTCGCTGAATTATCAGCAGACAATTCTCTCTTCAAGTGAGCAAACCGATCGTCGACAACATTGGTAAGCTGTTGGCACATTTGTGTTAACGACAAATTCTCCATGAATTCTTTCATATCTTTGCCCCGAGAGCTCTCGATGAGACATGTTTGACTGAAGAACGTGTAAGCAGCGAGGAATAATCAAGGCGTGTATACGCCTTTTATACTATGGCATAACAATGTAACATAGTTATGTATTCATATCAGAACATTATTCTGCATATCAAACAATTAGATATAAATTATCTGCTTAACTGCGTAACGCAGATAATTAAAACATTGTTAAATCCTCGATTAACTTATTCAAACTTTGAGATAAATTAACATTTTCACGCATGGAGTGTCAGAAATGTTTTTGGCAAAATATGTTGCAAAATGGTTAAATTTGATATGATTTATACTCGATTTGTCAAAGGTTAGTATATTACTGTTAATTCTAAACTGTGAGAGCATGAATTGTGTACTCGAACACGCCTCTGACCGAGTATTTAGGGCAAAATATGCCTTCATTGACTTCGTATAGCGTTTAATACGAGGGGAATTGTGTTCCAATATTATTTAATTTGTTGAGTAAATTTTTTTTTTATATAAGTCCAGGCTTATAAACATGACCTTCAATTATTCATATTTAAATTAGCTTAAATTGGCCTAATTTATAGTTACCATTAGAAATGCGACGATATTTTCTTTTATGCAATGCAGCAATGAATAATATATAATCAGTCTAATTTTGTTTCAGAGACTAAAATTCATTCAGAAATTGTGCATTGTGTGGCTTCATTAACCATAAATTGTATTAAAAAAGTCATTTTCTCAGAATTTTCTTTAATGAAATGCTGGATACGTACCACTATAGGGTAAACGCCCTCCTGCACACATTGGTATACATCCCCCTGCTGTCTGTCATTGTCACCTTGCATGCTTCTTTTGAAGCGAATTAATGTCTGATCCACAGATCACATGGCAAGTGGAACTAGCCAAGCTAGGTGCTGGATGAGAGGCAAACTGATGTGAACAGCTTCTAAATCCTAATTATATTTACAATTATGTACCTTTTGGGACAGTAATGCAATTTGTAAAATATTCCACATTTTATTTAATAAAAAGTAATTATATACATTGTTATGTTGTTTATATTAACACCTTTGGAAGGTGTATATTTTAACTATTGGACCTGAAAATAAACACCTTTGGAATAAACACCTTAGCGTACCCATTTTAAGCCAGGGAGATTTAATTTAAAAAACAATTATCAAGGATTTTGCATGATAAAATTATATTTAAAACTGCTCTCCATATACAGTATGCATGTAATACATGGTTCAAAATAATGCACAAAAGGCCTGATAATAAGCAAAAGAATCAACCAATCAGACCAAAGTCGTCTTTGTTTACAGAGCTTAATTTCAAAGAATTACGCATTTTAGATATTTTCAAAATAAATTATTACCTAACTGCTTTGTTTATGTTCGATACTATTATCTTAAAAATTTACAAGAAGCATGCATTGAAAATAATTTGGTAACAAGCAATAAAATTCATAATTACAATACAAGAAATGCAACAAAACTACAGAAGTGTCGCAAAAGAATTATGTCATATATACATACTCTTTCTAACAAAGCAGTTCATTTCTAAACTAATTAGATACAAAATTCAAAAGAATAAATTCTTACAATGTTTACAAAAGATTAATCAAGCAACATGTTATAGTAAGCAAGACCATCTTCAATTTATATGCAATGAGCACAGATATACAGCAACCGTTAACTCTATAATGACTCTATATTATAATATAGCCTAATATCCTTCTTTTGTAAATAGTATATACTTTAAACTTACTTCAATAACTACTCTTCACTATAAATACATATGCAATTTTTTCACAAACCTAACTAGTGGCCTACATTAAAAAGCCTGTAAAGGTTCCCAAATTTCTAGCCCAATACCTTTAAACTACACATGGTTTTGTTACTTAATTATTGTGCACATGGAAAATAAGTATATAATTGATTGGTTGATTATTTTCAGTCCCGGGTTGAAACGATTACGTAACAAAACTTTTGACCCAGGACCAAATTTCCCCTGCTAGCAGAGGTCTCGATTTGTAAAGACCTCTATCACCAAAGAAAACCATGTTCATCCCAGGGTTGAAATTTTAACCTCGCTAGTTAGCTGAAGCAGGCGGTTGAACTTGGCCCTTGGTTGATTTTGATAAAGTTTTGTATTACATACATGACTGAAATTTCAACGTGGTCAACAGGGCTGAGTTTTTTTTTTGAGAAGGAATAAAAATTCAGTTACCGTTGTCGTGGAGGCTTTATTATTTAAATTAGCATTATTAATACCATACACCTGTAAATGTTTATATTAATACCATAAATGTTTCGGAGATTACAGTATAGGACTGATCTCCTAAATGTTGTGATGGTGCCACACCACCCTAAACACCCGACCATATCCACCCTTGACTATGATAAAAAACTATACATTACACAGTACGATAACCAACATACAAGCCATTATAAACCCATTAAATTTCCCTGCAAATATGTTTGGCTACATAAATTACAAAATGCCCATCTAAGCACACTAACCTGCGCAATGTGACGTTAATGCCGAGCCCACTGAACAATTATATTTGCCAAAACTTAGGAGAAGATGCAAAGGTCATTTGAAATTAATAATATTGTGTAATTATACTGTATATTGTATAATAAACTACATACAGTACCACTATGCCTGTATCTGAAAGTTCATATATTTTATGAATAAAGTATAAAAACATCCATATAGTTGAGGGGCACACGTTGAGAACCAAAAAATATTTTAAAATAAATAAAATTTTATCAATATTTACTATACGATTATCAGGCAGGCTACACATTTATACTAAAAAGAGAACAAAAATACAGAAACTGTGTATAGTATTCTATTCAAAGCCATCACAATCATGCTCTGTCTAATTAAAAGGCTTAAGGATAATGGTGATCCTGCGTCTATAAATCAGGCTTGAAAAGCACTAGGGGTTTTACGATCTACAAAAATCATGAATGGGTGGGTGGGCCGTTCATCCTGCTCAATTATCCTCTGGAAAGAAACTGAGCAAGCTTTACTAATATTTAACTCCACGTTTCGTAGCACACACGTGTGCTTGCATGCTCAACTTCTTGCGTATATGGTAAAATATACCTTAATTTTTACTTATAAGGGTTGTGAATAGCTTTAATATTGTTGAATGTCGTCACACATCACATGCCGGCACTGCATATAGCGTACAGATCGCAATAGGACGGTTTAGAAATTGGGGTTATGCGCAGTATCCGAATTGGTTTGCACAAGAAGTCACAATTTTTTAAGAATATTAAAGAAAACTACGTCTGTTTATTAGGTAAAAACCAACATTGTTTTTCCTATAATAAAATACGGGTTTTGTTGAGGTATTTTTATTAGGTTGGTGCAGAAAACAAGTTGTCGAAAAAACAAAGCAATACCGGCTCGATCTGTTTCCGACACAGTTAATTATAAGTAGTCACCAACAAATTTAGCTAAGAAATTAAATTTTGCTATTAAGATTATTATAAATGGACTAGTAGGACCAATTTTGTGATTTCAATAGACTATTGCAGCGGATCATTGATCATGTATATTCAATAGTAAAAATTATCTCGTGTAGTCTAGAGTATAAAGAAAACAGTTAAGGGCTTATACGTTTTGCCCGCGTTAAGTACGCAACAGTATCGGCAAAGGAAATAATCCTTTTCTAATGTACTTGTGTATATACGCTCAATCTCCGACAATCAACTATATCGCTTGCTGGCAGGACAACATGAGCTCCACCTTTGAATTTACTATATGAGTAAATTCTTAAACACGTCCGAATTTATCATTATGATAAATTCGCGGCACAAACTGAAGGGAGGCTTGGTCGCGCAGGGGTGGGGAGTTTCCCAAGTTTTTTTAAAAAAATAGTTTTTAAGAGAGTTTTAAAGGGTTTTAAAAGAGTTTTGAAGAGCAAGAAGAGTTTAAAAAGTTAGATTTTTAAAAAAGTTAAAAAATTTAAAAAGTTAAAAAAATTAGGGTTAGGGGTTAGGAGTTTGGAACACTGTCATTAAAATATTTTCCTATTGCCGTAAATTAGCTAGTGTAATAATATTTCAACACATGGCTTTTCGACCATGTATGTATTCAAGAAATTCACTATGGCACATAAAGTAGGCATAAGGTAGAAAGAGATTTTCAATAATATTAAGATAGATTTTATTCTGTTGTATGTCAAATCGTGGTTCTATATAAGCCAGTACAAAGTTTTATATTAGTCCATGTTTGTCGTGAAAATATCTGATCTCTCCATAAGAACATAAATGATATAAGACCTCGTATAACGAGAGTACAAATAATTTTTTATCCAGATAAAAAATCGTATTCGGGTTAGGGTTTTCAAAGTTACACTCCAAAACTTGTCGGATATAATTTCCAACTATTAACTGAAGCTTTATATTTTAGCCTGCTGAAGAAATATTTCCACGAAGGGAAGTATGGTCTTAGTAGCGAGATCCCTCTTGCACTCGAATTTTGCAAATGGCACCAAAATATGAAAGGTTCTTCCGCGAGCGAAACAGCTCATTTCAATGTACAGTGGACATGCTGCAAATTATCAAGTTATCACATTACAATATTTTGACACGCATACTGTATTAGAAATATTCCGATTTTATAATTGGTTGATATTTATACTTTGAAATGAACAAATGATTGTTAAATTTTGCCAAACATGCTAAACTAGACAATCGTACATAACATTCAGTATATTTGCTATAATGACAGCAAACCATGTACTATATTATACAATGCTAACAACGAACAGTCCAAAAATAGTGATTTAACATTATGCGACAATGTGGAAATATTTGCTTTATAATCATAACTGCTAACAATATCAGCCAAATCTTTTGGATAAAATTACAGTCATACGATAGAAATACTTGCCAAAAGAAACTGCATGGTTGCCTTTCCTAATTTCGCAACTTTGTCCGGGTTTCTTCAAAAACCTTCGGAGTGGCGAATTTTCGCGGGCTTCATTTATGCTTTTCATATAACCGTCTTTCGGAATTTCCGTCTTTC